TGATTTTGGCTCACTCCAGCCTCCTCCTCCCAGGTTCAAGCAATTCTCCCACCTCAGCCTCCCAAATGGCTGGGATTATAGGCATGTGCCACCATGCTTGGCTAATCTCTCTCTCTCTCTCTCTCTCTCTCTCTCTCTCTCTCTCTCTCTCTCTCTCTCTCTCCGTTCTTTTTTCAGTAGAGACAGGGTTTTGCTGTGTTGGCCAGGCTGGTCTCAAACTCCCGGCCTTGGGTGATCCGCCCACCTTTACCTCTCAAAGTGCTGGGATTACAGAAGTGAGCCACTGAACCTGGCTCCTTATACCTTATTTGTACAAGGACAAGACTGCGTGTATGGTTTGTACGACACTGCAAGCCAATTCCATATTCTAGCCATCAATGAAAGCATGCTTTCTCATGTCCATTATTCTAATTAACACAGCCACTGGTCATAACCAGAAATAAAGAAGGCTGAATGCCTGCCATAGATGCCTCTGGAGCTACAGTTTCTTCTTTGAGTTTTTAAAATACTAACTATGCACCTCTGAAGTATGCAGCCCTTATCAAGGAACTACACATACTCATCAATCACCTCTAGGGTGTAGATTAAAATGAACACACACACACACTATGCTATCTGCATTTTGAAGTAAATTACAAATAATATAACTATGTGGCGAAGAGAATGATCTGGATTGTGGACAATGAAAAGAGCATCAGCTGAGCAATGGATGGTGGGAAGAAAGGAGAGAGCAGGTTGTGTGGGCAGGTTTTTGGCAGATTGATGATGCATTGGATTCCAGGCTGAGCAGGTTTGATGGCATAGTCCATGGGTAGGGTGACCATATAATTTATTGTCCAAAAGGGGGACTCTTCAGAGAGTAAAAGGATGCACTGTTAATAGTGCCAGGACAACAGATGTCAACTGGTACTGTCCTAGGCAGACAAGGCATATGGTCAACTTAGCTGTGGTCATGGGATAAGGAAAACATGGTGAAGCTGATGAAGCTTAATTTGAAGACGACTCATCCATCAGACATCAGAGCGTAGCCTCTGCTTACCTGTGCACAGCAAAGACTCCTGGGTGGCTTGGTGTAGGTCACCTGGGGTACCTGGGAAGGAAACTGTCTTTGACTATGCTTTGATTAATTTTCCCACACTTATTCATCTATGACTGCATGGCATCCTACCTTTCTCCAAGCAGCATTTCCTGAACATGTTCATCATCTCCATATTTTGGCTTGTCCGGATATGTCATGCAATTGCATGACAGAAAAAAATTACCTCCCTTACCATTTTGCTTATACAACTTTGGGCAGTTACTTCTCTGGGCCTGAGATTTAGAGATTACTGAGGGCTGATAGAGGCTTTTTCTTTTTTTCTTTTCTTTTCTTTTCTTTTCTTTCTTTCCTTCTTTCTTTCTTTCTTTCTTTCTTTCTTTCTTTCTTTCTTTCTTCCTTTCTTTCTTTTTTTGAGATGGAATTTTGCTCTTGTTGTCCAGGCTGTAGTGGAATGGCATGATCTCAGCTCACTGCAACCTCTGCCTCCGGGGTTCAAGCAATTCCCCTGCCTCAGCCTCCCAAGTAGCTGGGATTATCAGGATGTCCCACCACACCCGGCTAATTTTATATTTTTAGTAGAGATAGGGTTTTGCAATGTTGGCCAGGCTGGTCTCGAACTCTGACATCAGGCGATCTGCCCACCTTGGCCTTCCAAAGTGCTGGGATTACAGACATGAGCCACTGTGACCAGGCAGCTTTTTACTATATTATCTCATTCCTCCTGGTCGCCCTGAGAGGTACATGCCCTGCCTATCTGTCAAAGAAGGAGATAAACAGCCACCATACTTTTATTCCAGAGTTTGTGAAGATAAAGGGAGGTGAGAAATTCCCTGAAAAGTCAGAGAATTTGTTGTACCAATCATGAGGATAGGGTATCTCTGCTATTCAATCACAGTCCACCATAGAATGCCTAATGGAAAAGTCTTACCAAGGGAATTAATTCAAGGTATATTTGTTCTGGACCCTAAAGCAATTTAGTGGTAAAAATTAGAATACAACTTTCTTGGTCTTTTGTAGACCAGAGATTCTGAATTGGAAGCATTCTTTCTCTGCAGTAATTAGTAGAGTAATGAAATATAAGCTGTAACCACAAACACTGTGTTTGTCAGAAAGGGAATTCTGTAGTGTGGGAAAAGAGTATTGTGTGGAAGTCAGAAACCTTGAATTCTGGTTCCTGGCTTATGTGTATCACTTTGGGCAAATCACGGCACGGTAAGGGTGAAGCCAGCTTTCACAGCCTGCAACCCCAAAGAGCGGTCCCTGCTGGGAACACACAGAGTCAATGAAGGATTAGACCAGAGGTAGGCAGTCCCTTAACAGAGGTGCTGAGCTGGAGAAGATTCGAAAAATAATTCTGAACATCCTCCCATCATCCAGCCAGGAAGTCCATCTCAGGTCAAGCTCCCAAGGGTGGCTGTAGAAAGGCTTGCATCATTTCTTTACATGAATAGACAACTGACCAGGATTGCGGTTTATTTTTTCAATATATTGCCTCAAGCATTTCTCATTTTCTTTTCTGAACATCTATTTATTAAGCATCTACCACTTCCTAGGCATGGTTAGGTCCTGTGGGTCAAGTGTAAAGCAAAAAATTAACAACCCTCAAAGACCTGCCTTACCTCAGTGGAGGATAAACGACAATTGATCTTCATTATTTGCCAGTTCCATATTTGCAAATTTGCCTGCTCACTAAAATACACTGGTAGCCTCATTTGCAGTCATGCACAGAGTGCTGAAACCTTAGTGTGTCCTGGAAAGCAAGTTCCCAGCTGAAGTTTAACAAGGTGACTCTGACTTATTTCATCTCTCCTCCTAATAAACAAATGTCTTTTTCACATTCAATTTGGTGCCACATGTTTTCTCATTTTTTCACATTTTGTTGGTGAATTCACTTTTTAAAATAGCCCCCAAGCCTAGTGTTGAGGCACTGTCTAGTATTACTTGTTTTTTTTTTGAGTTGGAGTCTCACTTGGCCATGCAAGCTAGAGCACAGTGGTATGGTCTTGGCTCACTACAACTCCGGCCTCCTGGGTTCATGTGATTCTCCTCCCTCAGCCTCCCGAGTAGCTAGGACTATAGGTGCATGCCAGGTTGGCCAGGCTGATCTTGAACTCCTGACCCCCCGCTGGCCTCCCAAAGTGCTGGGATTACAAGCATGAGCCTCAGCACCTGGCCCCACTGTCTAGTGTTTCTAAGCACAAGAAGGCTGTGATGTGCCTTACAAAGAAAATATTTCATGACAATGCCTTCTAGTGACTGGTGATTCTCTGAAACTTGAGTTCTGTCCTTGGAGGAAATGTAGAACTTCCAGATCTACTTGTGGTTATAGAAATGTTTCTAGAGTAGGAAGCACCAGGTCTATCAATCTCCATGTAACCATTAATCAGGCCTTTAATCAGTTTTTCTTTGATACCTGGATTACAAACTCTGAACCATTGTCCCCGTTCTCCAAAACCCTGATGAGTTGCTGTAACTCACAGTATCTGGAGGCCAGAAAACTGGGTACGGGAACCTAAATCTGGGCCGCACAACCTACCTGAGTTAGTCCTATCCATGCTGCTGCTGAAAACTGTTCTCTCTCTCTTTGATTCTGGTGTGGTTTTTTTTTTTTTTTTAATTTCTTTCTCTCATAAGCAAAACCCTACCCCAAATCCAAGGGAAGCTCCTCAAAGCTACCTTCATTTATTGAAGTTTGCATTGAGTCTCTCTTCCAGCTTTGAGAATCTGCATCTAAAATGAGTTTCACAGAGGAGATGTGTTATTTTGTTTGAGCTGCCTTGTGCTTGCCATCATGTTGGTTCAGGTGATCCAGAGGTGACCAATGCCAGGGCGCCGGGGTGCTGCCTGGGTGGTCCCCTCATTGATTGAATGCTCCCACCTGCAGTCTCTTTCTCTCCTCTTGCCTCACTACTCCTGCCTCCTTTGACCCCCTGCAATGCTGCTGTGACACAGGGAGAGTTCGAAGCACTCTCAGACCCACAGAATTCGGAGTCTGTCCATCCAATTAAAATGTTTTACTATCTTCCTTTTTTAATCTCACCTTTGTAATTGGATTCCCAGTTTCTCAATTTTTATGGAAGCAAAGGGAGGGGGGAAGTGATAGCAAGTATCTGATAAAAATAAAATGCTATGATTTAATTTTGGCTGAAGGAATTCTCTCTTGCCTTTGTGAAGCCTTTGAAAGGGTTCCTGAGTCCCTGACTCTGTCAAGTTGTGGCCCTGTGATTCCTTTGAGTAATCAAAGGGCCTTAGACATTGCACACACCATGAGATCAGAAAAATTTGAAATCACCGTCTGTACCAAATATATGAAGGATCCAAAAGGGACAATTTGTGGAGTGATGACAAGACTAGACTTGTGTGATAGCCATATCTGATTATATGAGACCTCAGGCATCCTGAAACTATAGTCTCTGGAGGGAAAGTAGGGAGACTGTGTGAGGGCTCTTCTGCCAAGAAAGCAATGCTTGTGATGTAATTTGTGCATAAAAGTAGCTACAATGTGCTGGCCTAATAACTTTCATCAAAGTATGTGAAAGCCCTCTGCGTAATTGTCTAGTCAGAATTTGTCACAATCATTGTCATTATATTATTATGATTCGTACTATGCCCCATAGTACCTGGCAGTCTCCCACATATCTCTTTCACTAAATCAATATACATTGATGTATTCATTGGGGGACTACTTAATTTCTATGTCTTTGGGGCCAGTCCTCCAATACCACTTAGATGTTGTAGAATTCAAATCAATTCTGACACTAACTACCTGAAGTTCTCTATGACCCCATAAGCAAAAAGCTCTAGCCTGGAAAACTGCCCCTAATTCCAACAGCAGCCAAAAGTCAGGGTAACCCGAAGCTTCTCTGGCTGGCTGGCTAACTGGCTACAATACAGTGTCCCATAATACCCTTAATTTTGATAATTCCCTATAAGAACTCACAGAACTTGGAAAACTTCAGTGTTCACAATTAGTAGTTTATTATAAAGGATACAAATAAACAACCAAATGAAGAGATACTGAGAGCAAGGTCTAGAAGGGTTCAACAAGCAGATATTTTAGATGCAAGGGGGAAGAAGCAAATCCAAGAAATGTTGTCAAAAGGATAGAGTCAGTAAGCACTTTCACTTTGTGAAGACCTACAGTGAGAAATAAAGAAAGCTGTCTGACCAGGAAGTGAATGGCATGAGAATAGTCTCAGAGAACATCCCGTATTCACTCTGTGTTTCTTTCTACAAAGAAGAGAAAAATTCATTGTAATCATTAGTCATGCATCTTAAAATACATTATTGATAATTTACTTTATGTTAGGAACTCTGATAGGTGCCAGGGAGACATAGATTTTTTTTTTAAGGCAGAGTCCCTTTCCTCTAATGATGTCACTTCAGATAACTGATGGACAGGTGTTCAGGAGAGAAGCCTGCTCAGATCACACCATGCACATGACGTTCTGCAAAAGCTTCCCTACAAAGGTGCAGCCCTGACTCTTTTCCCTTTTATTACCCTGCTCTTTTTAGTCCTCAGGCAAACCTCTCCCACCAGGTATTTCTTATGTACTTCATTTATAAGCATAATCCTTGTGCATCATGGGCACTGTTCTATATCATTCAATTGTAGGACCATTCCACAGATTATTTATTTAGATCTGCCAATCTCCTTTGATAAATCTGGATAAATAAATGTATGCAATACCTACTTAATCAAGCTCCTTTGACAGATCTGCAAGTTATTTCCAGTTGTACATTCTGCAACAATTCATATATGTGCCTCCATTACCTCTCTGTGAGTGTTAATCTAGAGAAAATACTTACATGCAGAATTGCAAGAATATAGGAAATGTGCATATTTAAATTTACTAGAAAATGCCAGCTGCTCTTCAAAATGGTGGTACCAATTTATACTCCCACTAATAGTAAATGAGAGTTTCCATCAGTCTGCCTCCTTCTCAACACTTGGAATTGTCAGACTTTAAAATGTTAGCCAGTATTATGGATGAGAAACTGTATCTCACCATAGTTTACTCTGCATTTCCCTGATAAAAGGAACTTCTGTTCACATATGTTTTTGTGATCTGTATTTTCTCTTCTATGAATTGCCTATTTATAAGTTTTGTCTTCTTTTCTACTGGATTGTCTTTGTTTTTTCTTTGAGATGGAGTCACTCTGCTGCTTAGGCTGGAGTGCAGTGGCACAATCTCAGCTCACTGCAACCTCCTCCTCCCAGGTTCAAGCAATTCTCTCACCTCAGCCTCCCAGGTAGCTGGGATAACAGGCGTGTGCCACCACATCCTGCTAACTTTTGGTATTTTTAGTAGAGATGGGTTTTTGCCATGTTGGCCAGGCTGGTCTTGAACTCCTGACCTCAGGGGATCTACCCACCTCAGCCTCCAAAAGTGCTGGGATTACAGGTATGATCTACTGTGCCTGGTGCCCGGGTTGTCTTTTTCTTACTCAAATTTACTGGTTTAGAAGACAAATTCTCTCTTTTATAAATAAGGAAACCGAGCCCCAGAGAGCTTGAGTGACTTCCCCAGAAAAATGCTGCAGGAAGTAAAAAAGCAAAGGCTGATAGTTCTGGCTCTAATTGGCAAGCTCAAGAATCTCTTTCCTGGATCATTCTTTCCTTTGCACACAGACCAGTTTTGTGGCTCTGCCTTCCTTTTGCATGGCTAGTCATAGAAGACTCTGAAATCAGCAGCAGTTGACCAGAACGCTCATGTCAGAGATGTCAGCTTGCTGCAGGCTCCTGCTGGTCTCTTGTGTCAGTGATAAACCTGTTGACTCTGAAGAAAGTGTTGGACGTGCAGTACCATCCATGATAGCCTGAGACAGTGTATAATGGAGTTTCACCATGTTCTGCCCAATTTCTCTGTGCTTATTTTGCTTTCTTGTTCATAAAGGTGCTTCATGTTCCCTGTCCATTTGGTTACAGCAGATCATATTTGGAAGGACTGCCAGTTCACTGAAAAGCTTCACTTGATGAAAAACACATGATGCAGCCTGGGAATTAGATCAAACAGGAGAAATGTTACATAATCGGGAATATATAGAAATGTTCCAAGGCAGATCTATTTTCTTTTGTAGCCACATTAGAATGTTGCTGTGTACCAAAAGAGGCATGCTGGGCCCATTGACCATGTTGCAGTGATAGAAATAGATATTGTTGTTTTAAAAAGTTTGCTAGCACTCCCCTTTTCCCCTGTCCTGTGTTTTGATTGGCTGGCCACATTCCAACCTTCTCCTAGAGAGAGAATATATATATCAGTGGACTTCCTTGGCAGTAGACCAGCACATCCATTCCAGAACACAGCAAAGGTCAAGCAGAGGCAGACAGCAACAGTTGTCCCCAGGTCTCATGAGGCAATTCAACTCTCACAGGCTGTGCAGTGAATGCAGCAAGAATGGGAAGATGGCACCAACATAACCCATCTTGGTTACAGCACTCTCTTCTTCTGGGCATTTCCCCAAATGTTTCCCTGGAATTGTCCAAGGTGTTGTCATCTCTAGATTATAAAAAAATTAAAAGGCAAGAAGTGGAACATAGATGAAGATTAAGAGAACTAACTAGACACAACATAGCTAAATGAAAATGCCAGGGGACCTAAAAGCCATCTCCAAGGATTTTATATGCTTAGGTAATTTGGCAAAAGGCAACATCTAAATGTATCAATGGCAGGAAACATTGACTGCTTAAAGTAGTATAAGAAATTAGAAGTCGTCAAAATAATCAATATTATCAACTTTTTATTGAGGTTCTACTATTTGTCCAACCCCAGGCTGGGCACCAAAAAGGATTTAAAACAAAGGCAAAATAAGTCATTACTGCCCTCACCATTTCATTTTAGTATGAACTAAAAAGACAAAACATACCCTTGAGCAGAATCCAGTGAATGAGACTGACAGCTTGCTAAAAGAGTTCAGGGCAGAGAGCATTTCCTATGACCTCAGGTAGCCAAATAGCCAGAGAAACGTGTGAGAAACAGATTTAGAGTGTTTTCTTAAAAGTGAATAAATGTCGCTAAAAATCATTCTGGATAAAACCTCAGAAATCACAATGCATTAGTTACCGAGATACACTAAACAGCCACCACTTCTGATGTCTCTGATTCCCGAGAACAGCCCCATGGCTCAGATACGGTTGATTATAAAACAAACACACTCATAGCTCAAGGTCACAGGGACAGCACGTTCATCACAGTGAGGGAAATTCCTTGGGAAGAGGCTGCAGTTCAGTCTCCTGACAGCAGGACCAGCACAGCTCTGCATGCTAGATAATTAGGAGGCTCAGTTTAATTCCAAATATCTGGGCAACAATCGATAGTGAGAGCATGAGGGGTGTGTGGCTGGACTGGTTTATGTGATGGGTCACACATTAGGTACCTAATTGATGTGGCTTCTCGGGATGTGGTAATGCTGCTGACGCACACCACTTTCCTATTACTAGGCTTAATGGTTCATCTTTTGATTTCTGTCTCACTCCCAGCACTGTGTTATTTAAATAAGACCCTATTAGGAGATTTATTTATCACAAGGAAAAGATTTATCCAGGGGGAAAAAAAAAAGAGTTCCCTAAGCCATTCCCCTTACAGAGGCACCATAATAAAGAAGACAATAGCAATATTTTTACTGTTTAGGTCGATACAATTATAGGATGAGAGAAGGCAAGAAGCAAAAATATAAATTTCACACTCAGTGACCTAGTAATTTGTCAGTCATTTTCTGCATTAAACCTAATGCATCCTCTGGGACTGGGGTAGAGGATACCAGAGAAATCTCAGCACTCCTGGTTTGACATTCCTAACACCACACTATCTCTTCCTTTATTCTTCCTTCTTGATCATTTTATCTATGTGTGTAATTGTCTTTGTGTTCTCAGTTCCTGTGCTTTCTGATGATGGTGTTCTTTGGTCTTTTATTCTGGTACCAGTTGCTGGAAACAAAATCACCTCTTTATCTCCCAATCGAGTGTTTGTATTTCTTTACTGAGGGAATTTCAATATTTAATATTGAAGGAAAGGGGCCTCATATAAGGTGGCAGAAAAATCTCGACACTGATTAGTTTGACACCAAGGCAAAAGAAGAGAACCCTATCCTTCTTGGGTCTCCTCCAACTCAAATAGCCTCATTTTTTCCCATGCAAGCCCTTCTCTACTCTGCTTGTGCATTGTTGTTGTTGTTGTTGTTGTTGTTGTCCGTTTTTGGAGACAGAGTCTCGCTCTGTTGCTACCGCTGGTGTGCAGTGGTGCGATCCTGGCTCACTACTGTCTTGACCTTCCAAGCTCAAGCAACCTTCCTGGCTCAGCCTCCTGAATAGCTGGGACTACAGGCATGTACCACCATACCCAGCTCATTTTGTTCATTTTTTGTAAAGACAAGGGTTCACTATGTTTTCCAGGCTGGTCTTGAACTCCTGGACTCAAGTGATCCTCCTGCCTTGGCCTCCCAAAGTGCTGGTATTACAGGCGTGCGCCACTGTGCCCAGCCTACTTATGTACTCTTAATACCTACCATATACTCTATTGACAGCCAATTATTGGGTTTGAAAAGTATATAAAAGAGGCAGAAGGGAAATTTTTCACTAAGAACTTACACTCTACATGGAGAGATGAAACAGACATGAAACAGAGGACTATTAAGAAAACTACAGAGTTAGTATGGGGCAGGAGAGATAAGAAAGGGAGCAAATGGAACACCTATATTCAAATATCAGAAGGATTGTAACAGAAAAGGAGTAGATAAACAGGAGAGCTTTGGGAACATAAATGGACTCAAGGCATGGGACCATCAGGGAGACAGATACTGAGTCAATGTAAAGAAAACACCTCAATCCATTAAAAAAGTCATCTGACCACAGGAGGTGATGCGTACGAGAAACTCATGGACAGGGCTGTGGTGGGGGACTTGCTGCACTGGACGGGCATGCGACTGGTCCATTCAAACCTCAAGTTCTTTTTTTTGAGATGGAGTCTGGCTCTGTTGCCCAGACTGGAGTGCGATAGCATGATCTCTGCTCACTGCAACCTCCAACTCCCAGGTTCAAGCGATTCTCCTACCTCAGCCGCCTGAGTAGCTGGGATTACAGGCTGTGCTACTATAATCCCTCCCACCACCACACCCAGCTAATTTTTGTGTTTTTAGTAGAGATGGGTTTTCTGGTCTTGAACTCCTGACCTCAGGTGATCCACCCACCTCGGCCTCCCAAAGTGCTGGGATCACAGGCATGAGCCATGGTGCCCGGCCCAAACCTCAAGTTCTTTATGTGTTTTAGGAATCTGCAGAAGGTGCACATGCATGAGGGCTTCAGTCACCAGGGAAGACTTCAAAGAGACGGCACTGAGTCCAGTCCTGTGTTAGAGCTAAATTTTCGGATAGGACATGGGGAAGGGGCTTCTAGAAAGGGAATGACATACACACCTGTACCCCTGTACCCCACCCCCGTTCTTTCTTATAATCCTCTGTCCAGAGAGCAAGTTTTCCTCTTTTAGGTAGAGATAGAATTGTTCAGGACATAGTCATTCATCCCCCAAAGAGGAGGAAGAGGCACAAGAAGTAAACCAAACTTTAAAATTGAAAGCTTTATTAATTTTTTTCTCTTCTGTCTTTTCATACTTCCCATTCTATCTTTCAAATTGATTTACTGAGGACCCGGGCACTCGGGCTAGGTCCCACAGACATAATGATGTGCAAGGGCAGATGTGATCCTTGCTCCCGTATAGCTTACGGCCCATTGAGAAAGACAGACATTAGCCAAATACTCTCACAAATAAATGTCTACAAGTGACACCAAAGGAAAATAAAAGAAGTGGTAAGGACAGGTAAGAGGAACCCCAGATTGAGGCTATGATGGAGACAGGAACAAGCTTCCCTGAAGAAAGGAGAGTTGGGCTAAGATTTGGGGTTCAGGGGGAGTAACCAGGTGAAAGGGGGTGTCAGTGACAAGGGTCAAGAGATCGGGAGAGAAGGAATAATATTAAGTCATATTCCAGGAAGAGGAAACAGCAGCTCCCAGAATCACAGCAGATTTAGAGAGACTCCAGGGATGCCTCATGCAAAATTTGGTCAGAACAAATTTATAGACAAATAAAGGGAAGTGACGGACAGAAATCAGAAGTGAGGTACAGAAACAACTGGATTGGTTATAGGTTGGCCTCTGTTTTATTTGAACACAGTTTGAACACTCAGGAGTCTATGAGTGGTTGAAGTATGGCTGCTGGGATTGGCCAAGACTCAGCTATTGTAACAGGCACATACACCTAAGTTAGATTTCAATCTTGTCTGCCTATTAAGTGAGGTTACCATTCACAAGGACTCAAATATAGAAGTACGTAGTCCTTTTTAGGCCATAGTTAATTTCCTTTAACAGAGGGAAGACTACACATGGGAGAAATGGAAAGAAAACTCTAGGAAATGCCAACAATTGTATATATCCACAATGGTGGAAGACAGTTGAATTAGGTTCATAATTCATGACTAGGGATACAGGAAAAAATGGCGGCAAACTGGTGAAATGTGGGGACCTGATATTTCCTTAAATAGTACCATTCTGAATGTGTACAGTTCTTTGGGAAGATGGGAAGGTTACTGTCCTTATAGGTCAGTTACGTTACAGAACATATTTATGCCTGGATCCATGTGACCTGGTAAAGCACAGTTCTCCCGAAGCTCCAGTTATAACTTCAGATTAAAATTGCTGTTCTTCTTAGCTATCCATCCATGAATTATCCCTAGTGACCTGGGACCAGAAGTGGCTTCCTTCCTGCCACATCGTTAAGCCTCAACAAGACAACAAAAAGAATATATACTAAGTGTGGAGGATCCCTAGGACCGGTGTATTTGAGAGGGACTGGGTGTGGCAGGCGTGCATGAGAGCTGACTGGTGGTTTTCTTCTCAGCATCTTCCAAGACTAAATATAGACCCCTGGATTGTCCAACCTTTTATATTAGTCTACCTATGGCTGCTTTAGGCTTGCTTTACTCTAAAATCTTAGATTTTTATGTTA